CCTGACCAGGAGAAGGCACCCCTGGGGATTGATGGCTGTCAACTTGAAGAAGTGGACAGTTTTAAATACCTCGGGGCGCGGCTGCTGCCTAATGGACAGAGTAAGGACGACATTGTCTCCCGAATCGATGCTGCCCGCTGGGTTTTTTCAAGCCTTCGGAAATGCCTGTGGAACCGACGTGACCTCTCCATCGCCACTAAGATTCGCGTGTACCGTGCATCTGTCCGGTCTGTCCTTCTCTACGGTTGTGAATGCTGGGCTTTGCGTGTGGCGGATGAGCGAAAACTGGAGGTATTTGACCACCACTGTTTGAGGATCATCCTTCCAGTGAAGTTAACCGACTTCGTCTCAAATGAGATAGTCCGCGCTCGCTGCGACAACATCGCGAGGATAACTCAGGCCATCCAAGAAAGACGACTGAGGTGGTTCGGGCATGTTCTTCGTCGTCCACCTCAGGAGCTCAGTGTTACTGCCCTCGATCCGGCACCGTTGCCCAATTGGAGGCGTCGAAGAGGGGGTCAGTTCAAAACCTGGCTCGACACTGTCCGTCAAGACATGGAGGTGGTTCTTGGACCTTCGGTATTCGGTCTCCGTCGTTGGCGAAGGGAATGGGTTGAACTGTCTAGATCTGCGGCCGCGGATCGTCACGCGTGGAGAGGTACAATTCGGGACATCATCGAGGCCGGCTAGATCAGGCATGATCGCAGCCGTATCAAGTACAAGTAAGTACAAGTACCGGACGACTTGTATTCGCGCAATGATGTCATCCCTGTTGCTCGCTCGCCAGCTCGCTATGTTACGTGCTACTCAGCTTATTCGTCGATTGGGATGACGAGAAAGGAATAAGGGGCGCACTGCCTCGAAACAACCGATCACGGTGGGGTTTCCATCGTAAACGTCATCATTCCGTTACGTACTTTGTTGTTGCTCCACAGACGCCCACGCCCCATACTCACGCCGCTAGGATGGATTCCCCTCTAGGCTGCAGACCAACGGACCCGAAGTCACCATGTCCGAGATTGTGCTAGCCGTACCCACTCGGGTCATAAATAACACGTTAGGGAAGAAGGCCTCACTTTTAAAAGAAAACCGAATGAGGTCAGCAACTTACGCTCACGGGCCCGAGTGCGTTCCGTCTGGATAGTCAGTCGACCAGTCAGCGATCAGCATCAGAACACGACCTTGTAGCTATCGCATTCACCCTCGCGCCTCGATGCCGACTCGTGTTCGGGCAACTAGCACCTTGACGCGACGTCAAGGTGAATAAATTTAGGGCACGTCTGAGCAGTAAATGCCTACTGGTAAAGAAACGAACACTTTGGAAATCTGAGTTCTTCGCACCAGACGGAGGGATAGGATGTCTGCTAATGATCACTCTTTTTCGACTGGCTGGTAGCTGCCTGCCTTTCGCATGCAATTATGTACAAAATCTCTTTAACTTCTCACTTATCAGTGCTTTTCTCAAACGGTTTGTAGCCAATAAGAAGTTCAAAGGCGTTTGCCTATATTTCCCATAATAAAACTGAAGTGAATTATGAGGGTTGGCAGCATTTTGGACCGCAAAGACCCGATAAATATGTGGGGAACTGCGATGGCCGTCTCTGGTTTGTTAGCTGTCGCCAACCGGGCAGTTCCAAACTCCCAGTTCGAACTCGGACTCTGGACATTGACCGTTAAGTCACGCCACCATCGGGACGCGGGCCTGTTGCCCTGACGGTCGCGATGGGGGATATTTGCATGGGAGTGTCATTCGACTATTCACTGATAGCAAGATCATGCCGTCATATTCTCATGTGACTATCTGCGGCGGCTCTAGACTGGACCCAGGGGAATTCGATGAGCATGTTCAGTGCTTCATTTGGATCGGGTCGTGATCCACCGACGCTACCAAGAAGTTCGGGTCCAAGCCCCGAGTTATCCAAACCTGGGGCTGGACTATGTCTGACTGACGACAGGTGATAATCCAGGAAGGTCCATCGGCTTCCTTTATCTGTATTTACTTTGCGTCGTTATTTTTTGCTGTGCGGCTGCCCACCTTTAGGTTGAGTCTCAGAACAACGGGACGAGTGTTTTCGGTATTGTAACATCAGTTAACGATTCTTTCACACAAATTTTAAACGGTCTTGTCAGATCCACACCTCCACCAGGAAACTGGAGGCAACGTTTATGAATTCATTCCTCATATGGGAGTTGTATATAAAAAAACCTTTGGCCTCTTTCCTGTTTGATGATCGCGTCTCTATAGCAGTCTGTGTCTAGACGGGGACCTCCGCTTTATGTGCAACTCGCTTTTCTACCAACTGTTCTCATACTCTACGATATACTACATCAAAGCAATCCGAAACATCGCCCACACGCAGATGTGTTTTGGAATTGGTTCTTGTAGAAATTATCATCGTGAAATACTTCACTTTGTTGGTCATATGCCTACAGGATATACAACAGCTGGTCTATCTCATGAAATGTTAACGGAAATTTCGAAATTCGTCATAGATTAGAAATAATTACTTAGGTGGTGCTGTAATGCCGATCATCGAGCAACACAATCGGAAGGTATTGCAGGCAATTCAGAATACCGGCTTTTCAATGCGTCTCTTTCTGACTGCCTGCGAAAATCGCACTCGATAAAACATGACTATTTAAGTGGTATGCATTTTTCCCATCAATTTTCGATACCATTTTAGGTTCAAATATATGTTATAGAAGACAGATCCAAAATGTTCTTTCTCGTGCTCAGTTGGTAGCAAATGTTATACTGAAAGAGAGGGTATCCTCTGGTTTCCGTTCTCGAATAATTTGTGGCCTGACCAGCAGTAACACTTGCACCTAAGGTTTGCAGACTACATGCTGCACATTTTTCCGTTTAAAATCACACTTTTCTCAAAGCTATTAAGACGTCGTTTAGGACTCAGAATTTTACAAAAAATGTGGACCAGGTTTGCTTCATAAGCGACATTAATAAACGGACGCATACAATGCTGTATGAATGGACATTTCATGGACTTAAAAGATCTCATAGTTGCAGGCTTCGTTAAAACCGAAATATGTCCTTTCTCTAGGTATAAACTTCGAACGAGACGTAATTTTCTATCGAGTGAGTGCAAGAGGGCGTATGTTTGTGCATCTTTTTTTATAAAATATATTTGAATTTTTAGGGGCACCGAAAGTTTACGAAAAAATCATAGTACATACGTAGCCATCTTGTCGAGTCAGGCTCAGTCCATTTGAACAGTTCATCATGGACTAACATCATCAGTGGTTTAGTGTCCGTTGAAGTTCTTGATTGGTGTGCACTTACAGCCATGTCGCCACTTTTGTGAATTGCGGATCCTCACTCCAAAAGCGAATCGGAATGCCCGCTTTCCGCCCTACAGTCGGGCTGAATCGGCGGTGCACGTCGCTCCCATGCGACTTCCCTCCCGATCTCAACCGACATGACATGAGTGCATCATGCCGTGATGAGGCCCTACTCCATGATCATTTTTGGTTCAGTCCTTGGGTGCACCGGCTTCTGTGGTTGGTTTTTCACCAGATGATGGCGTCAAATCAGCCGGGAATGGCCATTCCCGTATCCCTGTCTCTATCGGTAGCACTTCTCACTTCACAGAAATGTTACCAGTGAGTGATGGTCTAGGAGGATATTGGGCATTGCCTCGAGACATCATATGCCGTTTCCTACAGAATGATACTGTACCGCCACATCGAGCTCACCGTGTGCAAGCATCTTGAGCAGAATCTGCCATCCGGTCATTTTTTGACTGTCTTGATCCCGAGACCATCTCCAGAATCGTCTGGGCCATAAGCTTAAACATCAAATTGCCTCTTGCTTCATCGCCTCTCACCGACGTCCTCTCTCTCTAACGCGGAAGCATTTGCCACAGAGGTTTGGTAATCTTCTTGAACGCGCATTGGTAAGGTCTGGTGTCTTAGTCGAAATAACTGGAGTTCCGAAGACATCCTGCTCTTTGGGTGAACGAGTAGTTCTGTCTCTCCTAAGACAATAATTTTATGCTTTTCCCAACGCTAAGTTAATTGAGGACTATCTTCGATGGATGAAGCCGATTACTCCTCTGTAATCAAACATCATTATGCATCCATGTGAAGTAAGTGTACTCCTATCCTTTTATCGAAGTACGCCTGGTTATTGGAGTTTTGAAGCGTTGCGGGATTGAATTCCGGCTTGTTAAATCCCAGTTAGTCTCATCAACTCATCAGTAATCCAAAGCGTTGTGCAGGCTTGTGATCCGAGTTTGCCGACTCGAATGATCCTCCAACACTCTACTAAATAGGGTTACATGCTACCATACTGACAGCACAGGTACTAGCTGAAAGGCCAGACACGTGCCTCGCCGATATTCTGCCGCTGCATGTCACCCCCTTATCCACCCCCTTTCAGACCTAACACGCTTCTGTGGGCGCCGATAGATGTGTAGGCACGCGACGACACGTCCAGCACTGCTGGCCGTTCTCCACTGTCTGCTTTTTGTCTCCTTCGGACAAGTGGCGGACGCGCCGTCGTCCCCATCAGCACGTCGAATTAACTGTGATCTGCAACAGAAGGGCTATCATCTCAAGCTTAAGTGCAGTTTGTTACCTGACTCTGGTGGTGACTGGGATCAGTGCTCCATCCAACTGGATCTGAGTAGAGGTAGGTCCATTGACTGTATTTTTTTTTCAAGTTTCGCGAAATGTCTTCATTTGACACTTGCTGATAGGCTACTAGGCGCTGGAAGTACACACAAATCTGTTTTGCTCAGCCTTAGGTGTTCTGGAATTATTGTATAAAGTAGCTGCCTTGGTCCTGTTCGTGGCCACATACTTTGTGTGCGCACCGCGCACACATTAAACAGATAATCAGTCAGATTCACCACTCTCCTCTGGTTGCTTTATCCTACGCACACCTCGGCAGCTATCGTCATTTCGATCCCTTTTCGTTTGAGCTGTCCCTATGTCTTAAAGGGTAATGACATGAATGCGGCACACGAAACGTTAATTTCACTTCTTAGCAAGATCTACTGGAGTATTCAAGTGGAGTATCTCAGACTCCCTGTATCTTGGGTAGACAGTCGGCCCCTCAGATAGTTGCCTTCGACCTCCATGAACACGAGACTTATTTTTGCCGTAATAGTCAGCACGTCATGCAGACGGCTTCTTACTCATAAATCAGTCCTTTTAATGACATGTCTCTACAAGCCAAGTATTCCGTGCAGACCAGGCCTAACTGAGCCTGCGTCCCCTGAATCGGTCCACGTGATAGATGCGCTGAGTCGACAAGGGGTCTGTATCGGATTCTGACAGGTATCATCGGGAATGCACACCCATAACAAATGTCAACATTTGGAGTGTGTCGGTAGGCCTAGTTGCAGGTGCACGCCGTGTCGTCTTCCCCCTTTTTTTCCTGTGTAAAATCCTGCTCAGTGTCCGTTGTGGACCAGGGGGCGTTGTAGCACGCCGAGATGCGAGCTCGGCCGCGCCACCTACTGCCCCCCCCCCTCCCCGGTCTTCTTGACTGTCTTGACACCAGGCCCAGGTAGGGGAGGAGAGAGCGCGACAGATGCAGCACAAGTTTACATGCACTATAAACTACGTCACGCGCAAGTCTTCGTTCTTGCTCTCACCCTGCTTTGAAGCACACAATCAACATCCTCGAAACCGACGGTTGAACTATCCTCGTGTCGGGTGTCCCGGCTGCAGGTGATTCGATAGGATGACTGCATTTACATTGCGTGGCCGATCTCATGAAGTGTTTGCCGAAATTCTGTAACGTGTTTTCAGTTTGGAACGATGGCGTAGGTGGGGTTGTAATAGCGATTATCATGCGGTATAATCCTATGATATTTCAGACTCGCCAGAATGTTGACTTTCGAATGCACTTCTTTTCGATCTGTAAAAGCCGCACATAGTACGAGTTGACTACTGAACTAGTATGCATTTTTCACGTTGACTTTCGATAGCCTTATAAATTCAAGCATATTTTATAGAGAACGTGCACAAAAGTGTGCTTTCTTCTGCTCATTTGGTAGCAAATCACGTTGTCTTCACATTTTATATTCGAAGGAAGAGCACATCTAGGTTTTGAAAAAGTTTTCCAATTCCCGAATGATTTTGGGCCAGGTCAGCCGTTGCATTGGCGTTCAGCGATTTCAGTCTACAAGGTGTATACTTTACGCTTAGGGAAAATCATTTATATTCCTCTGTGCCTTTGAGCAGATACTTTGTAATGAATGCGGACTATGATGTATACCTCATGAGGAGCACTAAATAGCGGACAGGTATGATGCTGTATGAATGGACATTGCACGGCCTCAAAAAATCTCAGAGACTTTTCTAAAACTGAAAGGCACTCTTTCTTCGAGTATAAAATGTAAAGACGACGTGACTTTCTACCAAATGGTTAAGAGAAAGCATATTTTGTGTATTTTCTGCGAAATATATTTTAATTTATAAGACTCGAAAATCAATATGAAAACTCATACTACTTAATCAGTAATTTTTAGCGGATACAGTTTGTACAGGAGGTCGGAAAGAAGTGTAGTCGAAAGCTAACATCCTGGCGAGTCCGAACTAGCGCAGGACTTTGTCGCATGATGGTCAATACTACAACTCCACCTAAGTAATCTTTCCTAGTCGAAAACGTCCTTCAGAACATTTCATGCGATCGGTCATTCACTGCAATTTTTGCCGAGTTGTGTTCACCGTGTTAACCATAGGAATACAAATTTGACAAGATCTCTCTGTGTTTCTTTTTACTCCTTTGCTAGCAAATCACGTCTTCCAGACATCTGATACTCGAAGAAAGGACATATTTAGGTTTTGAAAAAGTTTTCAAATTCCTGAATAATTTTGAGCCAGATCAGTCGTTGCATTAGCATTTAGCTACTTTAATCTACAAGATGTATATTTTCCGCGTAGGAAAGATTATATAGTGCCCCGAGCCGTTAAAGAGGTACCATGTAGTGTTCATAAAATTTAATAATGGATGTGGACTATGGTGTACACTCCATGAAGAGCATTAATAAACGGACAGGTACGATACTCTATGAATGGATATTGCACGTTCTTAAAAAATCTCATAATTAAAAACTTTTTAAAACTTAAAAGTATTCTCTCCGAGTATAAAATGTAAAGACGACGTGATTTGCTACGAAATGAGCAGAAGAAAGCATATTTTTTGCACGTTCTCCATAACATATGTCTGAATTTATAAGGCTATGGAAATCAATGTGAGAAATGCACACCACTTGAGTAATCATCCTTTCATATTGGCCCAACTGTGAAAAACTCGGTGCCTCGGTGGGATTCGAACCCACGCAGTAAGGGGAAGGCTTTAGTACAGCCAACGCTCTAACCACCTGAGCTACGAGGCCCCGCCGGACGACTCGAGTTTAACCAAGGCGAAGGCGACAAAGCATGCAGAATTTACTGACGTCATAAATTTCGAGACCTCTCATTCAGCTGCACACGGTCATCGCATAGTTATATGACAAGGCAAACTGTTCAATCAACGATCGACCTAGAGAGATAAAACGTGATAGGTAACCTGAAACATGGGTCTAGTATGCGGGTGCATATGGCGAGGGGGGAGGGGGAGAGAAGTCATCCAAGTATGAGAGAACTTGTGCGGCGTGATTTCGAGTGCAACGTGCGGGGAGCATTCAGTCATGCCGGGAGAGGGGGCGGGTGGGGGCGAAATGAGAGGGCGCACATGGGAACAGGGTTTCGTCCATAATCGATAATTACCATAGCAGTGCCAGGTTTATCACATGGTCCAGCTGCACGTGGTCCCCGCACGTTGCACTCGAAATCACGCCGCACAAGTTCTCTCATACTTGGATGACTTCTCTCCCCCCCCCTCGCCATATGCACCCGCATACTAGACCCATGTTTCAGGTTACCTATCACGTTTTATCTCTCTAGGTCGATCGTTGATTGAACAGTTTGCCTTGTCATATAACTATGCAATGACCGTGTGCAGCTGAATGAGAGGTCTCGAAATTTATGACGTCAGTAAATTCTGCATGCTTTGTCGCCTTCGACTCGAGTTTAATCACATTTGGGTCAAGTTACCCGCCCAACCTACTGCAACATCTGGAATCCACCAAATCTCATACAGTAACTTGACTGCCCAAGCAGGAATTCCTAAGTAACTCACCTAGAATCCACCAGATGACTACCAGGCTTATGAGGCACCGAGTTTTTCACAGTTGGGTCAATATTAATTATTCAAAATCTGCCAAAACATCTAATCATTCTTTAACAAGTGCGGCTTTTACAGAAAATCGAAAAGAATTACATTCAAAAGCCAACATCCTGGCGAGTCGGAGATCTTATTGAATTATGCTGCACGATAATCAGTATTACGACTCCACACAAATAACCCTAATCGAAAACGCATTTCCAGAATTTCGGCCAACATTCTATGAGATCGGTCATTGACTGTAGACCCTGTTTAGGACATCCTCATGATGACCCCAGCGGAACGATTTCGAACAGGTTACCCCACGCTGACAGGACGAATACCGTCGTTTCCCCCCTCTGTGCCTGTTCCAGTCTCAGCTCGACAGAGGACGGGGATGACGGTCGCCGCTATGCCAGACGTTATTTCTTCGTGGAGAATGTCGCCGTAATAGCTCATAACATCCTAGAATATTGTGAAGTCGCAATAATATCACTTCTGGGCTCGGCTTAGAGATCCATACTTTGTGATGTAGCTTAGCTATGCCAGCGAGCATGCATGTTGCCTTAAGTAGGGAGTTTTGCGGTTGAGGATCGAAAGGTTTTATGTTATTGTCGCAGACGTGCGGCTGGGAAACCGAATTCCAGGCTTGTAACCTTCACCTAACGTTTGACGTAATAGTTCGACCATTTCAAGCACTGAGGTCCACCACGAGCTAGGCCCTGTCGTGACTTCTGCGTGGACTTGTTTGTAGTAGAACGTACTTTTGCTTCATAAACCTTGTACTGTCTTCCGACACCCAATTGCACGACAAGGACAGGACGACTATAGATAGCCATGGACGCAGTGTCTGACAAGACCGGGTGACCCATCTTGGCGCGCCAGACACGGCCTGGTCCCCTGTTTCTTATGTACCTGGCTTCAGTGAGGAAGCCTTGAATCTCACGGAAGTCATAGGTGCCACAAAGGCCACATTAGACGGAGTTATTATAGTTTGGCCCGCCTTCTAAGGGGGAAACAAGTTAGCTGGTGATCCCCCAAACCACTACTTTTAGCGCATCCTGTTAGTTTCCAAGGGCCTTTTGTTATTTATATTGAGCAAACTTAATGCTGGAGCGATCTCACGCTCACCTGTCATTGTTCATTTCAGGTATTTACGCAAACCCTTACGAACTGACTGACCGCCTGCCAGAGGTAAAGTTCAACATTACTCGGAAGGCTAGTCGAGAAAGCAGCTGGTTCGCTCGAACTTTCTTCGCCAAAAACGATGTGGAGGAGGTCTCCAGTGTGCAAGAGCTAGCCCTGCGTCCTTCGAAGGTTGATGTCGAGGCCCCTGAATGGCGCTCTGAAGCCTTGCGGTGGAAGTTCCTGCTCAGTTCCTCCGGTGGCCGCCATCGAGGTTCCGATGCCGCCCTTGAACTCAACATACCGCTGCATCTGCGTTATAGGTACGCGGACCACCTCAGGTCTTAAGACCTAGACAGGATGTCTTTTCCTGCTTTGCGCAACAAATATTGTCAGCCATAGAGCGCAGTCTGACCTTGCCTGACACCCGTCTAACTCTTCTAGAGCTTCTTTTTCTCTCGCCGAGGTGATTACGGACGCATTTGTTCCATGTGATACCAAACGTGATAGACTTTGGTTAGTGTACTAGGTGTTAGTTGAGGAACAAAACTTGGGAGCAGAGAATCACCCGTGGAACAAACTGGGCTCTTCGGCTTCCTGTTCTCTGTCGCTCACGCTGCCAACTGGAACCGCCGAGGCCCCAGTGTGGTCCACTGTGTACAGTAGGGCAATCATTAGTACTTTTACGTAGGCTAATTCCAGTGAAATTCTATCTTTTCAACTAATTACCTCCTATTCTTTGGTGGTCTACCATCGTCCTAACCTTGTTCAACCGAATAAATACAAACTTGCGCTTTTTCCTCAATAAATTTGACGTAGAAGATATTGTCTCTCCCCCCCCCCCCCCTTCTACTTGTTTCCTCTCCGTACTGAGGATCTTATACGAATCGTGGCATTTTATTGGCCGCATATGCTGATGACCTTGATATCACTCGCCATACCAACAATGTTCTTAGTCTGCAAATGTGAGGGAATCACTTACGTTAGAGATCCGAGCGGTCCTTTCATAATTATTTACTACTCGGTTTTGATAACTTCCTTTAGGTCGTTTCCTCCGCCAACTGTTAAGCCTTCTGAAATCTGTTTTGGAGAAACTTTTCAGCTAGTTCGTTTTAACTTTCCTTTCAGGACGAATTTCTTTATAAAACCAGTTGTAGAGTACTGTTCTGCATTCAGCGGCGGCCTGCTCCAATCTTCTGTCCCCTAATCTGAATTGCCTTATTGTATACTGCTGTTAGTCTTCATTGCTCCTACGTCGCTATTCCTTAGTATTATTTATAGAGGATGGGAGATGCTAAAATACGTTTACCCACCTGCTGCCGTTCTACCTGCTTAGTTTTCAGTCGACATGCAATACAACGGCACATTGGTGGAAATCATTCAATCATAGCGCCATTTGAGGTGTTGGCCAGACTGCGTAACGCCTTCAGTTCCCGTAGGCTCAGCCCCTCAAAGAGTGCATTTTTACCTACATACGCCTTGGCGTATTCGAATCCACGCAGCGGGTAGAAGTGTCATTCCTAGTTTTTGTTCCAACGCTGGACGCAGGCACGCGCCACGCCTCCGTCCACATCCGGTGCCCACATGTCTCTCGATGTACGGTAGTTCGCGAAGAAGGAGACACGATCGCTCGGCTGTGAGTCATCAGAAGTATGAGCTCGTGGCCGTCTGCTCGCCTTCATCGCCACCACCAGACAACAGAGTTAGTTTTCACTGAAAAGTCGATAAGGTTGGCAGATATTATGAGCTCTACCTCGGACTTGCGCATGTGGAAAACGTTGGACAGAGGTTTCAAGTTACGTAAACCACTGAGCCTAACCACATTCCCAGTCGGCCCACGTAAACAGGCCACTGCAAATTGGAGAGGTAAGAGACAACCATGTCGAACACTTGTAAATTCTCAAGCATTGCCTGTGAAGCGGTCAGATGATGACAGTTACCTCGATCGTACTCAGGACTGAAGGCCAGACTGTAACGTCTCTCCCTTTATGTGACCCTTATGACAAGGTTAGAGACCCCATTTTTCATTAAAGCACCTGTTTTTGTGATGTTAAGGACCATGTTCCGTGTGGTATTCGAAAACGTAACTTCAGGCTCCTCAAGCACTGTGTCCACATCCACCTACTTTCGTACGAACTCTGCATTGCCATTAGGACATGGTGAGTGTGGCAAGAGAGTCGCATATGCCCTTTTACTCTGGTTAACTATAAAACAATCCACTGGATCCGTGTTGGAATATCAACCTGCGTTTTGGCACTGATATGTTGACAGCACTTTTATTGCGATCAAGTGAGGTGCTGCAGACACACTTCGTAGAGCTTTTTGCTTTGGGTAGGGAGGAGGTGGTGGTAGGTGAGACGTGGATTAACACAGGGGACTACCAGGTTTGGAGAAAAACATGCGACAGTCTGGCCGTCTTTGCCGACGATGTCTACCGTGTACCGCACAACAGGATGAGAGAAGGGATGGTGACTTGCGCATAAATTAGTTTATAGTGACAGTTGACTCGCGCTGCATCTATCGCATTCTCTCCTCCTCCCTCACCTGGACCCGGTGTCGAGACAGTGTTAAAAAGTTCGGGGGAGGGGCGGGATCGGACTCAGTGGCTGACGAGGCTGGACATCCCGTCTACGCCTGCCACAAAAGACTTGGTCCCCACACAATGTACCAGATATTCACAGAACGGGCGGATCGGACCTCACACGCTCGAGGGCACCACATTAAAAGGGAACCATTGAGTCTGATTCGATTCGCCAGCTGATCACCCCACGTGCACAGCAAACCGAGTTAGGTTTACTTGAAAATATGGGACGGTTCAGAGAGGAGACCCACTGTCGCTCGTGGCCACTCACTGTCTGGAGTAGAACCATCGCTTTCAATTTTGCGGACACTCCGATAGTCGGGCGGACCGCCAACAAGGTCAGACAGATGCGTTGGATTCGTGTCCGCCTACCAAGCGCCAAACGGTGAGGTTGAAGGCCGCAGCCCAGTCCCAGGATTGATGACTGTCACAAAGGTCAACACAGTAATTTACAGTGGCATGAGAGCGGGCCGTTTGGGTGGTTGTTTGTTCTGTTAATACTTTCATCTCTCTGAATATTGACTCAGAAACTGGTCCAAAGGCTCAGTTGAGTAAATTATTGATCCCCGCGACAGCTGTGGAAATTTTTGTGTGAAGGGGAAGGCTATTTCGACAATTGTAAGCATTTACGAGACAGCCCTCACTGTTCTTTTCAGGGTTCATGTCTTATCACAAATCCTTGACTCCCGCAGTGGCAGACACTCTGAATCAACCTACCTGTTTAGACGATTTTAACAAACCGCTGTTCTACACTTTTCATAATTCCCCATCTGTACTCCCTCTTTATCCTCTCTACAGTGTTCCGTCTCCCTCGGGGATGCCGGACTCGAAGAAATTAGAAAAACCGAAGCTCGTTTGCCCAAATCGCCGTCGCCACAGTGATGCTCTTGGTGGCACTATTGAGGATGAACTCGGTTCTGTCAACGAGGAAGAAGAGGAAGTTGTGGATTCCGGGGATGGCAAGTCTTCCATTGTCCGAACAAACCATGGCTGTTCTTCGGATCTTCTCTTGGTTATGCCCTTGACGGTGCTCTTTCTCGTCATCGGCATTGTTGTCCTGCTATTGGGCTAGAACATCTGGCCTGGATCATCTGACCAAGTCATGAAGCCCTTTCCTCCTCTATTTTCACCTTACTCGAAGGCAACAAATATATTGGCTGCTACCTCATCTCCTCTACCCCGGGGAGTACCAACCGCCTCCCCTGACGAAGTGCCAAAGAAAATAACTCGCTTTCTGGGCATCCCTTTTTGTTTAATGGATCTCTGGATTAGCCAATCTACTCAGGCTATTCTGTGTAGTGTGGAAATTATTATATTTTAATTCCTCCTTGTCCTCCTACCCATTTCACGTCTGCACATTCTCGAAAGCCATGAAGAGTTCCACTCTCAATTTTGTAGAGGCTGCGTAGGACATTTACTACGGGCCGTTGCTAGTCGTTCCGCATTGGTTAGGTCTAAATTAATGATAATTGTATGCCTGCTTGTTTCCACCCACCAGAAGTGAATGTAGGATTACTAGTCTTCGGGGATTTTTGCACCGATCGGTGACACCGTTAGAGAGGGCTGGGCGTAGATCTCTAATCGCATCCACGCCGTTCCATTGTGGTGTGCAGCCGCCCATTAACGGTTCACGAATCAACTGCTCTGAAGGTACTATTTTGTACAAATGTGTCTTTACTCATTTAGAACTTTTGTCTTATTATCCAGTAATCACCATGGGCTAAGAAAATAGGACCTTTCTCCATACTAGACATCGTATAATTAGCACAGATGGGATATATAACGTCGTGGAGTGAGAGCAAGCTGCAATCCTCTGCGTCGTAAGCGGCTCTCATTCGGTAAGTTGGATGAGAAGTCGACTTGAGACATTCGGTGGACTTTGTTCTCTCGGTTACTGGCACCTGCGTGCGCCTACGCGACTGAGCAGCAGGCGTAAGGGCTAATTATATATCCGTAAGAACTTACCTGAAAAAAGCGGGAGATTCTATAAAGGAGGGCTCACCCATCAGCCCAGCTACGGGCCGCCTGACAAGTCCGCACGTTTCGAGTACGGTAGTGGCCTTCATTTAGAATTTGCTGCGAAATAACCAGTCATCTGATCCCAAACAGTCATGGCCCGTGCAGCGTATGACTGAGTACTGATTTGGCAGATCGTTTCTCAACCAAGAAATGAAACGGCCTTAGCGGTGTATGGGATGTTTCCTGCCATGCAATGGGGTTTCACCGGGCGCTATCATTTTGCGGGTGATGGCCTCACTCAAAGGCAGAACGGCGGTAGGGACCTTACCTGGATCATATTCACTTGAATATGCACTATGGTCTACGTCAAGCGGAACTCGAATCGTGCCACAGAGTCCACGGAGATCGTCTTGTCCAGGTCACGAATGGTGAGCCGTGCTGAATGTGCGAGTTTACACCCTCAGCAAAAAAGAACATCTCCGTTGCTTTCTAAACATATGCTCTAGCAAAGACATACACACAACCGCCGACAAGGTACACATTCCCAAGGTACAGTTCCGGCATCGCACGTTTAGCGAAATCTGGCATAGCAGTAGTCACAGTACCAGAATACGACATTTTGCAACGGACAGGACAGCGAGCCGATGGCTCAGTGGTTAGAGGCGCTAGACCTTTAACTAACAGGTCGCGGTGTCGAATCCCAGGTGTTCCACGCTTCGGGGCTAGGTATGACTGACTGACGACGACTAAGAAGCCAGAAATGGCCGTTCCAGTCTCCCTTGTCTTTGTCGGTAGCGCCATTTCGCCTATATTACGCGCCGCTGTGCGGCTGTCGGCTGGGCTCGAGAAAGGGAGAGAGAGAGCCCTAAGGCACAACGGGACGAGTCAATTCCGCAAAAATGATCAGTGAGCGCCCCTCTACCATTATAACAGTTTCCGTGACATCCGATGGACGTTAAGTAAAACGCCCTATACTAACGGAACAGTAATTCATACGTAAAATAAGAACCTGTCTTGCCAGAGGGCCAAGTGAGTTTGGATAATTCGGTGACCTTCATACATGCATTTAAATGTATTTTGCCAAGGTGATAGCATATAACAGCGAAAAGGGAGGTCTCTACCACCGCTCTCAGTAACCTTCGTCTGCCATTACCTCCACAAAATTAAAGATTCATAACATGCGTGCACAGGAGAAGACAGGTCAGGACTCGTCACACTCTCACCAAGTGTACTATCGATAATCTACGCGACAGAAGTCTGCTGACAACGGTAGGCTGCCTGATGCTATCCAGCGAACGACCACTTAAATTACAATGAATTACAATGTAAATTATTGCATTCTTGTTGACAAACAATAAACAACGGTGATTCATAATTGCCACTCAGGGGGTAGATCAGGAAAGCGGGACGAGAATGGATAAGACCACTGGTACGTGGGAGCCGCGAGTGCGCATACCCCTCAAGGCATTCGGGGCTTCTGCTGAGCTTCAGAAGATCGGGGTCCACATAGTTTGGTGAGGCTATTAACCGACTGTCACTTAATACGAGGCCATGAATGCTGACACTGGACTACCCCGTTGAAATACTGCTCGTCTCACCAAATCCGTCTTTACTGACAAAGTGAATGCACTGTAGGACACCGTCACTGAAACTTCGCTCAACTACCTAGGCTACATAGATGCAAACCCCATAAATGTATTTGGGTCAGCTACATCCGACGGGTGGGCGTTGCGCGTCGTATCCAATTTTCCGGCAGTACTGATGTAACACGGGTTGGCTTGTAACTATCAGTAAGAAGCGATTGTATCTACAGTAGGTGACCTATCTCATGGAATATTCACCGATTTTCCGAAAGTTCCTTTCGATTACAACCGATTGCTTAAGTATGGTTGTAATATTGAATCTTATGCAGCAAAATCCTAAGACGCGGTTCTTACCGGTCGCATACGGAAACGTCACTCGGCAAAAAAATAGCTACTTAAGTAGCCTGATTGTTCCTGGGATTTTCGATCCCCTTCGAAATTCACATGTGTTTAATCGGAGAGGTGAATAAAAATATTCTTTCTTGCATTCATTTGATAGTAAATACGTCTTTAAATTTCATGCTTGGAAGTTTATCGTTCGACGAGTGACAAATATTTCAGATTTCGAACGAACCTCCACGGCTGACGACATTAAAAAGTTTCTTCTGCTCCCTCCATTTTGTCCTAGATCAATTTATGCTCCAATCAGCTAAGCAAAACTAAGCTAGGTCTCTTCAAAATCTCGCTAAGTGCGTGGTATGTGTGTTAAAAAATCAAGCTGTTAAATTTTCAAACCCACCGTGTCTGAATTTATCCAACGAGACCTCTGCTGCGGCTGCTCCTGTAATTCCTCCCATTGCCTTAACGAAGCACTGTCTTCTGCTAACAAAATTCGAACGATAATGGACCACTTTCGGTGAATCACTGATTGCGTTAGTGTAGGATACCAACAGAAACCTGTGAGACCAATTTCACACTATTCCTGGGTAGCTAAAAGAGTTAGCTCAAAAAGTGTGACAAACCTAATCCGTCCCAAGGACATGAAACATAACCGTTCCAACTTCTCCCTTCAAAAAGTGGATAGACCAAAGTGCCGCATTTGCAGAAGCCTAAGCCTCCTCGACATTGCAGAGAGGATCTTTTTTAGCGCCGTCTGAACTGGTTTCTGTACCTGTTTGCATGCACCGAAAAAAACAAAAAGCAGGCTGACTGATGTTGTGTCGACCATTCTGCCAGCATGGGACTTCGAAATTCCTGGTGATGTCGTTGTGAACTAATTTCCATGATTTTCTCCCTTAACTGTCTACTAAAGTCTCTCGTCAACCAGGCAGGACGACTATTTGTCTTTGTGGCCTTCGTTGGCGGTAAATGAACTAGTATTATGATCACAGCTTCCAAGCTTTGGTGACGATCTTCGCGGCCTTTAAGGTCCTCCCTCGTTTCGATCCTAAGCGCACTGCTGACAGCCGCTGTTGTTGCCCCCATCTCACCACCCTGTCGACTGTTTCAGCAGCCAGTCAAGAAGTATGATGGTCGCATCTGCCGCGCTTTGCATGTGCAATTGGCCTCCTCCGACTTACGAATGCTCCCATGACGAGGGTCGTGTTGGACGCTTAGAAACACTCATAAACAGGTGGTCCTGTCTCACACACCCATATTCCACTCATCAGCGACAGTTTTTATCCCAAACATACTGGTTTTCCACGTTTTTTGGTGGAATATCCCTATAAAGGAGTTTTCTCACTGTTTGCTCATCTTCAGTAAGCGGACGATCAGCTCGTCAGTTATCGTTAGTATCAGCAAAAAATTGCCACTGTACATGCGTACCTGCTCGTTCCGAGATTTATTCGCGAATATTGCTTTCATTTACACCGACGGTACTTGCACGAGTGTCTAATAAAAAAAACTACTACTATTATTATTAGTAGTAGTAGTAATAATAATAATAGTTTGTTAATGCCAGTTTACAGGCATTGTCAAGGGAAGCGAGTAAACATAAATCCAACCAGCAGTGAAAAAAAACTGCTGAGGTAAAGGAATAAAAATATAATTGATGGTGGTTTTTATGGTTTGGAGGGTTCCGGAGAAAAAAACTGCCGGTGGTAGAATTTCGACCGTCAAGAAGGGGGGGAGGGGTTGCACGGTATCGGAGATTATCGGACGTCAATTCCTTTCATGAAGTTGGGGATAGTCAAAGTAGAGGCGTTGAGGAACAGCTGGTGAGACCGGCCATAGTGTTCAGAGACCACAAACGCCATCGTTACGGTAGAGTCGATCAGTGGATTCAGAACCCAAAATTTGAGGAAGCTTTTCTGAATGCAAAAATCGAGTAATAGTTCTCTTAAATAAAGGATACTTTTGCAGAGTTTTCACACTCATTGGTAGTTTATTCCAAATAGCAATTGTATTTATAGAAAAGAACCGACGATATTTAACAGTACGCGCCAGAGGAAGAAATAAAAAGACCTCACGGTGACTGTTACGTCGTGGGTGGACATGGTGTCTTTAAGAGGTGAGTGCGTTAAATGTGTGATTATATAAGAGTTTAAATAGCAAAAATAGTCCCTTTTGTAATCTACGGAACCATAAAGGATCAAGGCTCGTAAGCTGGCAACGTTCTTGGTAAGACAAATGTCGGTGTTCTGGGGTTAAAACTCTCTTGGTATAAAGGTGTTCAATGGATTCTATTTTCTTCCGCTCAGTAGCACGCATGAGGCTAAATGAAAACGAACAGTATTCCAGACTAGGTCTAACGTACATGTTGTAAAGGCGCATTCTGATGTCCCTAGTTTTGAAGTTTCGGAGGATAAACCCGGTCGTTCTACGTGCTTTGGAGACTATTAAGGCACAGTGCTCCGAGAGATTGAGACTCTTGGAGTATGATACGCCCAGATCCTTAATAACCCCAGTCACATTTATGGCGTGACATTCAATACTTAGTTAAGGTTGGCGGTCGTCGTCAACCACCATGACTGAGCACTTATGCCAAGAAAGAGAAAGGCGCCATCTGCGACACCACTGATCAAAGGCCTGTAGATCGCTCTTTAGGAGCTCAAGCACGATGTCATGATCTGCCGGCTTATATCGATATGCAACTTTAAGATCATCGGCATACATGAAAGGCTTACCATTCTGAAATAAATCGGGTACATCATTAACGAAAAGGCCAAATAAAAGCGGGCCGAGTACACTACCCTGAATGACTCCACTCCTCACACGTGTGGGGTTGGAGATGGTATTGGAAATCTTAACTCGTTGTATACGAGTGCCCAGGTAAGAGGATATAAAATTCAAAAGTTTGCCACCTATTCCGAAAGAGGACAGTTTCAAGAGAAGAAGAGCATGGTCAACACGATCAAAAGCCTTAGTGAAATCGAAATACACTGTGTAAAGTGCAAAACCATTGTCCCTAGATTGGAGAACATAGTCAAAGAAAGAGAGTTGACAGGTGTCACAAGATCGAGCTTTGAGGAATCCATGCTGAGCAGCACTTAGCAAGTTATCCACTGTTAAGTGACACATAATTTTATCTTTGATCAATGTCTCTAAGATCTTCGAAACTGCGGGGAGGGTGTTTATTGGTCGAAAGTCATCAAATGATGTAGATTTGCCGTGCTTAGGAATGGGCAAAATGTGTGATTCCTTCCACAAGGTAGGATAAGTTTCAGTTACAAGAACAAGCTTAAATATCTTACATAAGAGGGATGGGAAGATCGTGTTTGCATCGGCTTTTAAAATGCTTCCTGGGACACCATCAGGGCCTGGACTATAAGATTGACGAAAACGCCGAATCGCAACAGTCACATCCCACTGAGTGAAAGTTATAGTTTCTAGAACTGCCCCGGTCAATGACTGGATGGTCGGAAGCGGAGTGGTCGAGTCTTCAATGAACGTTTTGGACAGGAAATCATTGAAGCTATCAGCGGTTAACTGGGCATCAACTATGGGATTTCCTCCTCAGCCATCTGAACGATCATCTTGAACAGGGACTTCTGCCGGGAAGTCAGTGGGGGTTCCGACGCCAACACGTAAGCACTGACATGATCTTCGTCACCATCCAGCTGCAAAAGAAGCGCCAAGAGCAACGAGCCCACCCCTACGCTACCTTCGTCGACTTGGCAAAGGCCTTCGATACGGTGAATCGCGATGGATTGTGCAAAATCATGCAGTAATTTACCTATCTCGACCGATTCACGCACGTGGTGCGTCAGCCGCACGGGAGTGACGGTGCACATCGAGGAAACGCTCTCCGAAGCGTTGGCAGTAACCTACGGAGTAAAGCAGGGCTGTGTACTCTCCCCAACCCTCTTCAGCCTCATGTTTTCTATCATGCTGATGGATGCATTCCGTGGTGGGCACACCGGGATCCGTATCGTCTACAGTACCATCGGCCATTTTCTTGACAGTCTGTGCATCCAGATCTTAACGCGTCTTTCTACGACTATTGTCCACAACCTACCCATCTCTGACGACTGCGCACCCAACACCGAGACAGAAGCTGACATGCATAGGAGTGTGGAGCTTTTTACCGCCGGCTGTGCCAATTTCTGGCTGACCATCAACACGGACAAAACGATAGTTGTACTCCAACCGCCACCCAACGCTGCACACAGCGCTTCTCACGTCCGTGTCAACAGCACCGAACTGAAGACCGTGGATAACCTCGCCCACTTCGGCAGCACACTCTCACGCTGCATCAAAATTGAAGACGTAATGGCTCACCGGGTCTTCAAAAGCCAGCCAAGCCTTCGGCCGCCCGAAAAACTCCACATGAAGTCGCCACGGTCTCCATATGAACACCAAACTGATGATGTACAAAGCGGTCATCTGGACGATTTTTCTGAATGATGTGGAGACCTGGACAGTCTACGATAAACAAGCCCCGAAACTCCATCACTTCCATCTAAGTTGTCTCCGTCGGATACTTTAGCTGAGATGGCAGGACAGGATTCTGGACACAAAAGTCCTGGAACGGAGTGGCATCCTCAGCATCCATTCCAAGATGACGCAATGCAGCTGCGATAGATCGACAACCTCACGCAATGTATTATCGGAGCAACCAAATCCACGGCGAGACCCTAGCCATTACGATGTTCTGGCCCTGTCCCGATTAGGAAGAGAAGATACTGGACGTCAGTTGACAGTACAACTTATTCTGTACAGAGAGATTTAGGAAAGTTGGCAGCGAAAACGGCGTCCGCGGCAAAAGTGTCCCCAGGCAAGTTGTTCACACCACAGATCTGTTGTGTGCGCCTGTAGCCAATCCGCGAAGAAGCCGCGTTAGTTGACTTCAGACCCACGAGAGGGCAGTGACAAACCTCGCGTGGTCCTGACATAGAATCGGCCAGAAGCGTTGGAGGGGACTAAAAGGTAGCGACACAAGTCGGCGGCGACCAAAACCAGGCTGTTGCTTGTGCGTACGTGCAGGCACCAGTGAGGGGCGCGGCGTTGCAATGGGCGTCCGGTGTGAAACGACTACAGGAGGACGAACCCCTACCAAGACAATTCTTCTACGGAGATGTCGCCCAGGGTGCCCACCGACAAAGATCTCAGAGCCGTCGCTACAAGGACACCTTGAAGCGGCTACAGATCAACCCGAAGGCTTGCGAAGACCTGCACAGAACCGAACGACCTGGAGAATTGCACAGTGAAGACTGAGGCAGTCATCTATGAAGTCAATCGGATCTTCGCTGCCAAAGCCAAGAGAGAAGATTGCAAGTCTCAGACCCCCTGACCCTGTGCTCTACAGCAGGGTGAGAGCAGGGACGGTGACTTGTGACTAGTTCCAGTAGGTAACGTTGGTTGTCGGTGGCATGACAACACTGCCTAATTCAAAGATAAGAGTTGCAGTAACAGCTTGATTTCGTTATAAAATCAGGCACTCTGAAGCTCACCCACCGTATTATTATAAAACTGAAGTCAAAGACTGCATAGGAAAGAAAGTTGGTACAGATGGCTTTGGGTATTTTGTACGCTATATCAGTTCTCTTGTTGTACTCCGATGGCGTAAAAATTTTATGTCCAAGCTAACGAGTACAATCGAAATAAAAGTGTGCTATTTTTCTGCCCATGTCAGGAACTGCCTACGTTTACTTGGCCGCTGGTGGTGTACTATGCCAGACCTACTCTCAGACAAACTACGAAAATTTTCCAGATCTTCAGCAATTTCTCCATCATCATTGCATACTTCCTTTATGAGAAAATCATTGTTCGACAAATGCACTCCAGCTGTTGGAGGGCAGTGCACATAAAGCCCTTCCGCTTACCAATAGAGGGTGTTACATTTTTATGCTCTTTTTCAGGAAAACGAACTCAGTAAGAAGGGTGTCAATCTTTAATACCAGACGGCTGTTGCTGTGGAAGGTATGAAATACCTGTCTGTTGATCTCCTGTGGAACACCAGTGGATCAGTGTTTAACAGTGGTAGGCATATCTGCACCAACAGTGGTCATCTGACACGTAATGTTCAGGACTATGTGCCCTAACGTCTTCAGGAGCAATATTGGCCAACTGGGTAGTTTATTAATTTAAGAGCAGTTCAATGAAAAACTGGTTAGTCGACCAAATGCGTCAAGAACGGGTGGTTAGTACGTCTGACATTAATAGCAGACGCGCTACATTTGAATACCTCTTGGTTGCTGTCGGTCTTCTTAGGACACAGGAACGATCGGAGCACGCCATCAGTTGAGCGGATCATAAGAAAATTGATTTTCTTGGAAGCTTTATTGTAACTGATGAGCGAAAAGTTTATGCTGCACCCACAGCGATGGGTTACGTGCAGTTTAAAGCAAGCATATCCAGTCTGCGTGTATTGGTAGTGCGAAGACAACGCCAGGGCCAGTTGTGAGTGGAGTTCCCCAGGGCTCTGTACTCGGAACAGTAATATTTTTAATTTATGTCAACGACTGTATGAATGAACTGAACTGCAATGAAGCCATGTTTGCCGATGGCATCAACTTATGGCGAGCGATCAACGGGGAAAATGATGAACGGACCCTGCAAGAAGGACTGAACCGCCTAGGTGAATGGTCGGACAAATGGCTGCTGAAGTTTAACCTTGAGAAGTGCGTCGCGCTGAGACTCAAAAAGAATGGAAGAGCCGATGGAGAGGATCACCATTACCTGCTTGGCGGAAGGTGCCTTTGAAATGTGACCGAGCAAAAAAGATCTTGGAATCTACATTTTGTCGACTCTTAAGCCTTCCTGTCAGTGCGTTAGGGTGGCCAAAAGGGTAACCAGTGTTCTCTTTGCAGTTAAACGAACCTTCATAGATATAGACAAAGAGGTATTTAGAAAAGTATACGGAGCGTCCATTCGTTCGCATCTGGAATATGGAATCCAAGCGTGGCGTCCGTGGCTATAAAAGACTATAAATTACTGGAGAGAGTTCAGAGGAGAGCGACAAAAATGTTGAAAGGCCTCAGGACTTTACCCTACAACTGCAGACTTAGTGAATTTGAAGTATTTCCTCTTGAGTACAGGCAGATTCGAGGAGACCTCATACGGGCATATCGGATATTGAGGAACGGTGACTGTGCCCTAAACCTCGACGATTTCTTTACCCTGGCCACAACAAGAAACCTTGCGTGGGAACTCTCTAAAACTTAGAGGATCCCGATGCCGCCTGGACGTTTGCAGATACTCCCTTTCACAGCTAGTCTTTGGTGCCTGTAACGGGCTTCCCGAGGATGTTATAATGGCGGATTCTACGGAGACATTTAAACAGAGACCAAATGTATATTTGTTTGGACAATAACGCTTGTCTGGACAGAACAGCTCTGTTGTGCCAAACCAACCCCTTGTATCCACCTACCCCTAATGCAAATGATTGTCGTTTTATTTTACCGATACCATATGCAACTGAATGTTCTCGAGTTCCGGTCCTGTATTTCCGAAGGAAATGTCCCGTCGACTGTATATGCTACTGACAATATTTTAGTACCATGTTCATGTAAAGTTAAATATTGCATTACCGTCTTCAATAGGGTTTTCAAAGGTATTGCCAATTACCCTTAAAATATACCGACGTATACTGACCTAAATATCGCAGATCCGACGACGAACAAATATACTGGTGTCTCCTAAAACGTAATTTCCAAAGGGTCGGACTACTGAAGGCATGGCGCATACAGATGTGTCTTGAGGATGTCCATTGTCGCATGTAGTACGAGGTAAGATACGGCGGAATTCCTCGTTCATGGCTTTCATTTCTCCTGTGTCCTCCTAACAGCCCTCCAACAACATCATACCAGTGTGTCAGTGAACCTACAAGTGAAGCTGTAATAAGTTATTTTTATTATTTTACGTGCGCACTTAGTTATTTTTACGTCTGCCGACCTAGTGCAACGGACCACGAAACAGGATAAGTTGTCCACGTGAATTGAGGGACCTCACTTAAGTGCGAATTCAGGGTGTGCATGATGTGGTCGAGTGTCGGTAAAAATTTCGATGCCCTGACGCGTCACTGGTCGCCGTTCTTTGGCCTCTTCGCGTCCGCGCGCGCCTAGTCATTATCTCATGTCGGCGTGAGACGCGTGACGCGGTCGCACTTGATTAACATTGTTGTTTTTGGTTGATGACTACCAACTGATCTTAAATTACTGCTCATAATGTTAACACTGGACGCAGAGAATTCAGTCTATCAGTCTATCAACAAGTGCAATGACATCCCCACTCCATATTCAGTCCTGAGGCATAGACTGGCCAAAGCAATTGACCACTCGAGGAGCGCGCAAGCACGTGAGCCAGATGGCCGAGCAATCATCTCGCCAGCATCCAACACGGGTGATGAGATGTCAGCAATTAACAACTTGCATGCCGGCCATCAAGCAATTAGCGCACCTGCGGGCAACAATCCTTGATGAATGGAGCATGGTTAATTGCTGTAGGTATGCGGTAGCATGGCGACCGCATCCTATAAATACTGCGACTGCCTGTACACTAGCCACCCTTTTCTGCAACTGTCTCTGATGATGGATTCAAGAGAGAATCCGAAACGTCAGGCGAATAAAGCCATTGTTCCAGCGATCGCTTCTTCTTCTGATCAACTAGTTCCTGGAACTCGCATTTTCGCTTGAATCGGCAATATGTTTGGGCGCGACGCGCTCCGATCGGCCCGACGATGGGAAACTTTCGCCCTTCGAGAGGCCTCTACTTACGCGCAGATCCGGTTTCTGCACAGGTGTCTCGATAACAACGTGTTGCCGAAGTGTGTTTCATACAAACCTCCGGTAAACACGGAGCTAGCGAGACGCGCAGTATTTCAGCACGGAAGACGTATGATCCGCGTGCTCCTTCAAGATTGCCATGCGAGACTACGCAAATACCGTCAGATAATTGACCAAGAAAAGGCCAGATGCTGCGAGTTCATGGGCGAGAACGGCACAAATCTGCTTCAACAGAAAGTGACTGAACGAGCCCGCGAGCAGAGAGCGACACGCGATGCAGCACTGGGGAACAAATTCCACAAACTGCCTGATCCA